GACAACCTTGTCAATGGGGAATACCTTTACCTTTACCTTTTCCTTTAAGGGGACCCTATTATGGGGTTTTCTTGGGGTGAAACAGATGGGCAAAATAAAGCAGTTTCCAGACACTTTGAAGGAGGTGGGTGTTTATATGATGCATGCCTCCAAAGCAGATGGAAACCAGAACAAAGCCGTGCCCTGGGTCTAAAAAACGGAGCAAAAAGAAGCCTATATATGCTGTTTTAATTCAGAAAATGTGCATCTTTGCACCTGTGTATAAACAGCTGGTGCCAATGCAGGGCTGTGGCAAAGTCAAAAAATGAAAGTGTGACAACTCTAATTCATGTGATTACAATGTACACAAGCCAGGCAGTCCAACGGGGTGAAGGGGGCTTGTATCGTGGGCCTCCACGATTGTGCTTTGCCAGTATATCACTCAGCATATTGATGCACCAGTCGCAGCATTGCATGGGCAATCGTGTGTCCGATCAAAAGGACAGCTGTGCCATGGGATGGCATCTGGGCAGTAATTGGAAGTCTCTGGTTGTGTGTTTATGCGACAGTGCGCCTGCATGGAGACAACAACCAAAATTACCCAGCAGCCTGCCCTTGGGTGTTTTTGGGAGCAGACCATGCGGACAGCAGGGTTTCAATCCTCTCTCAGAAAAAGCAGGATTGAGCCTCTTTTTCTTACCCCTCTGCTCCAGCCCTAGGCAAGTTTCTTCAGAAGGGGTTCACCGTTGCCATCCTCTGAGGCTGAGAGAATGTGTGACTTGCCCAAGGCCACATGGCTGAGTCAGGACTCGAACCCTGGTCTCCAGAGTCAAAGTCCAGTGCTCGAAACACTGCACCACACTGGCTCGCCAAATAAAACTAGTCAAGTTTCTACTGGCCTCTTTGTGTCTTTTCTCTGCATGTGACTAAATTAATGAGTATGTGGATCAACGTTCTTAGCAAAAAGGGCCTGATCCACCAGGTTAAACATTCAAAAGCTCTGTTCATTTAAAGTGTGTGGGGGTTTTTTTCAGAGGGGAGAAGCAAATAAGACAGCTGGACATGTGCTTAATTCCTTTGAAGTGGATGGCTTTTTAAAGAGCACTTAACTGAGGCCTGGATGGTCCCTTTTGTATTTAGACAAGGGCTAATCCCAAAGTTACATGGAGAAGACCACGGATCCTCCAAATATATCACCCCAAAGTTAAGTCCCTCTTCAATGAACTGGATTACTTGCAAGTAAATTATTTATGATTGGGGTCTCAAGGTGCACCGATATTGAAATTAAATGTAAACTCTGTGTATACAAACCCCAAGTCAGTTAGTCACGCTCGCGCTTGGAGACCCTTTCTTTCTTCTTCTCATTTTCCTTTCATTTATTCTTTAACCTTAAACAAAAATGGTACTGATGTTTAATTTAAGATATTGGTAAGCTGATGGGTGTTTTTTTTATATATATATAAAAAAGTTTACATTTTAATTTAAATTGTTTCTAATGGATGAAAATCTCACACTGCTCAAAAGAGAAAGGACTGCTTGAAAATCCAGAGTTAATCCCATAATCGAGGACTAGATTTCCATCACAGAGTGCTGGGTTCAAGGGTGGCAGCTTCCACAGCTCTGCCTCGGTTTTCCTGTCTGTATAATGGAAATAATTACGATCATGGATCAAAATGGTGGATTTTTAAACACAGGTATCTTAACCTTCATGTAATGAATAGGGTCCTTATGAAAAACATTCTCATATAGATAGATAGATAAGTTTCCACAACTCAGCCTCGGTTTTCCTGTCTATATAATGAAAATAATTATGGTCATGGATCAAAATGGTGGATCTTAAAACACATGTGTTTTATCCTTCATGTAATGAATAGGGTCCTTATGAAAAGCATTGATAAACATACACACACAGCTTTGGCAACTCAGCTTCGATTTTCCTGTCTGTATAATGGAAATAAGTATGATCACAGATCAAAATGGTGGATTTTAAAGCACAGATATCTTATTCTTTGTGCAATCAATAGGTTCCTTGTGGAAAGCATAGATAGATAGATAGATAGATTCCACAGCTCAGCCTAACCTCAGTTTTCCTGTCTGTATAATGGAAGTAATTATATATACACACACGTATACACACACATACTTATTATTTGCTTGCCCCTATAAAAGTGTCACTGTTTTATGGATTCGGGATATTATTGTAGTATATGCAGACATTATGAAAGATTATATATATATATATATATATATATATGAGAAGAGAGTGTTTTCTTAGCCTCTTTTAAAACACTGTAATTGTAAAATCACAATGTCTGCATATACTACAATATTTACTACAAAAATTTACAATGCCTGCATATACTACAATAATATCCCAAATCCATAAAACAGTGATACTTTTATAGGAACAACCAAAATGCACAAAATACATGTTGCAAGCCTCCCAAACTCCATTGGCTTCTTCATCCCAGCAACATTGTTAACAATCATATAGCATAAAAAGTTATAATTTAAAAATGCAGAATTAAAAAAGTACAGGTCTAATCTCTGTATGATTTTTAATAACTTTGCCTGATGGATCTTCGAAAGCTTGCATCATGTGCATTTTGATTGGTCCTATGAGCTGTTTTGTGGATTTGGGATGTTATTGTCCTTTGCTATAGGGCCAACAGGGCTGTCCCTGGATATATAACATCTGTGTATGTTTGTGTTTGGAAAGGACATTAAATACCAACTCAAAAGGCTTATTGAAACGTTGCCATTGCATTGAAAAGCAGTTAGTTTTTATGCAGCTTTTCTCCTAGAAAGGGACCCAAATTTGCTCACAACAATATTTGCAATATTTGCAATATTTGCAATATTTTTTTTAAAAAAAACAGAATTAAAATCATCTAATTAAAATGGTATAAAAATTAACATTATAAACATACAAAAGTTAAAAACATAACAAAGACAGACACACACACACATCTAAAAGCCCATATTCAATATTCAAAGAAAATATTAAAGAAAAGGAAAATATCCAGGCATGTCATAGATTTTTTTTAAAATTTATTGCCAGAGAAATAAACTGGTGCGGAGAGTTGGTGGTCGGCTTGTGTTATTTATGAAGCTTTGTGTGTGTGTTGTATTTTTTTTAAAAGTGTTACAATCTTTTCAAGATAAATGGCCTGAGACAGATTCTCTAGAAGCAGCCAGAAAAATGAGAAACCTCTCCAATTAGCTTGACATCTAAAGGGAAAGGAAAGATTGGCAACAGGGGAGGGGTTATTAGGAATATATATATATAATCTTTCCTTTCACTTTAGTCTGTGTGTGCATCTATATGGATGCATGCAAAATATATATATCCATATGGATGCACACACAGACTAAAGTGAAAGGAAAGATTGGAAAGAGGG